GGTGTGGGTGTGGACATGTGGGCTGTTGGTTGTATATTAGCAGAGTTACTTCTAAGGGTAAGTCCTAAACTAGTGACTATACTCACTTAGACGTTGTTGTTATCATTTGAGTAAGAATTGTCTATTATCTCTCTTTCCTTTAGGATTAATTGGGTTCTTTTTCCTGAAAGTAAAACGTGTTTGATCATGTGTTAAGTCACAATTGTGCATTAGTGAAACCTATTTTAAGTTTTCCCTCTTCCCCTGAAAGCGTAAGCTGTCCCTTTGGTAAGTCTGTGTTTGCAGCACTGTGGGGACACTGCTGAACAGTGGCACTTGTGTTACCTAAATCTGAATGGTCCACTAGCCTGTGGTTAATATTTGATTGAAATGGAGTTTAGTAAGTCTACTAACTGATTAAGAGTGGGATTATAGAAGAGCAGCCAATAAAGCTCATAAGTAGAATTCATATGGTCCAATTTAACCATATAAATTACTAATTTATGAATGAAAATTAGAAATAAATATCCGTACGAATGAAGAAAAAAAAACGCTCTTGTCAGACATGACAGTGGGCTCCTTAGATAATATTGTATTGATCCTTAATGCAATAGAGACATTTTCGGATAATACACTTTTGTTGTTGTTATTCATAATAACCCCAAACTGGAAACAACCCAAATATCCGTAAATAGAAGCATATAAAACCTAATTGTGGTATATTCATAAAATAGATCATAGAAATTTTTAAACTGGATGAACAGAATAATAGAAAAGAATCACATAACTATTTCAATTGATGCAGAAAAGGTGTTTGACAAAATTTAACACTCTGTCGCAACAAGAATACTCAACAAGATAGGAATCATAGGAACAAGGCAGGGACTCCACTCTCGCCACTGCTAGTCAACATCGTTGTGGATTGACAAAGCCAAGGCCATTAGGCTTCGAAACAAAAAGGTATACAAAACAGAGGAGGACAAAAACTGTCCCTCTTTGCAAATGACATGATCTCAAAGACTCCACAAGAAATTACAAGAACTAATCAATGAATTCAGCATGGGGAGGGGGTTGAAAGCTAACACAGATGAGCTGAGTTTCTGCACATGAGAAATGACTCCCATGCAAACACTCCCTTTCCCCTTCTCTTTTTTTCATTGAGTGTGTGTTCATGGAGATGGGTGATTTGAAAAATGACAGTGATAACAGTTGTGCAACTTGAATGTTATCCATATCACTAAGTTACACATGGGGAAATTGTTGAATTGCCAACTGATTTGTCTTGTATATTTTTATTACAATAAAGTTTGTGGAGAGAATAAAATGTGCTGCTCAAATCCTGTTTCCTTGGCTTAACACTGGCAGGATCTTGTACCACAGGTTTCTGGTTTTCCTCACTAAAGTTATCACATTCTTTGTATAAAACTCTCTGAAACCACCTTCAGATATGTGCCAATGGCTTGCTTTCAGGTTCCGTTTTTGCCAGGAGACTCAGACCTGGATCAGCTCACAAAAATATTTGAAACTTTGGGCACACCAACAGAGGAACAGTGGCCGGTAAGTCTTCATGCAGCCTCTCTCTGTGCTAATACAGACTGATCGCTGCCGTGGAATGTTAATGGACAGTGGGTGCACAGAGTGTAGTATCACTTGTATTAATATATGTATATCTATTATAATATATGCAAAGATTGGCTCTTAAGACCTAAAACTGGAAACACCACCTCTAGAGGGGGATTCTGGGTAGCCTGGGGGGCAGAAAGGAAGAGAGTTTAGCTGTGTGCTCATGTTTGTATTTTTAAAATTTTTGTACTAGTAAAATTACCTATTGAGATAATAAAATTAAAATGAAAAACAGATATAACCAGCAGTCTTCATCCATGAATTATATATAAATATGATATTGAACATTTATATCTATCTATATAAATGTGTTCTTAAAGATTTCTTATACATAACTTTCTCCCATTTTTATTACTGATATATGTAATATTATAGAAATGGCATTTTTCAGTCCGTGAAGACTGAAATATAAAAATATTTTTACAGGACATGTGTAGTCTTCCAGATTATGTGACATTTAAGAGCTTCCCAGGAATCCCATTACAACACATCTTCATTGCGGCAGGAGACGACCTGCTAGACCTCATACAAGGGTTATTCTTATTTAATCCGTGTACTCGAACTACAGCCACACAGGTATTTTAGCATATCTTCCTTATATTAGAAAATATGAGAATAGGCTGAAATGGAGCATGATAAAATAAAAATTTCATAAAGTTTGCTAGCATTCTTTAAATACTTGAAAGGTATGTTTTTGTTTTGTTTTGTTAATAAATAACAAGCTTTATCTTTTTCCTCAAAGCTACTTGCCACTATACAACCTGGAATTGAACTACATCATATATACAAAACTTTAAGAGAGTTTATACTTACCAAGAAATCTGTTTGCTGATGAGTTTATTCTAATGAGTAGCAACCCTACAGTACAGAGTAGAATTGCCACCTTAGAGTTCCCAAGGGTGTAATTCTTTTTTTCTTTTTTTTATCATTTTACTGGGGGCTCGTACAACTCTTATCACAATCCATACATACATCCATTGTGTTGAGCACATTTGTACATTT